GGATGTTACATAATTGAAGCATTACTTCAGTCAAATCTTGAATGCTTCTATAATGAAACATGTATAAATCAAATACAATCATATTTCACATACTACTTATCAATGGATTTAATAACACTCGATATCTCATTATTAGTTCGATTTCATATGAATTCGACGATACAAGAACTTGTTGATAAGTTGATGGTTGAAGAATGGACTAACTCAACAATATATGATGGTTATTATAATGAATGTCAACCATCGAAATGTAGTTACAGTCATGAAACAAAGAATGGTTTAATCTATATAATAACGACAGTGATTGGACTAGTTGGAGGACTAATAACAGTACTAAAACTGATCATACCACGAGCAGTTCGATTTATTATGTTTTGTATTCAAAGATGTACAGTAAAACGTAACGCTGTGGTGCCATTTATTCAAACATAATTACTACTTCATTGATAAGCATTACAATTTACCATAAACACTCACATAGACGATGAAAGACATTGATTACTCGTATTTTTGGAATATAAAACGTACATTATTTACTGATATGATATTCTTTAAAAGATTTATTCAAAGTATACGCACGATTTTGTTTTGAGAAAACAGATTGTTACAATCTGCCAGAAAGATATTGCATATACTCATATTTACTCTGCTTAGCTTTTCGCTTGCTTCTTCATTGGTATTTTTTGCTTTTATTTAATCACGCACACCTATATATTTTAAATATAAATAAAAGAAAAATTATTTGACACATTTAATTCAAGATACATATATAAATACAAATGATATAATAAGAACAAAACATCAAATTGAAAAGATTTTGAAGTTGTTGGTTTAATTTCATTGTATATCAAGTTTTGTACAATAAATAATTGACATTAGGTATCTACAATATTAAATTTATTTATTAAATTCTATGGAAACACCGAAAAATAAATTATACTTTATCTCATCAACCATTGAAGAGTAATAAATAGAATAATTTTCAAATCATTATTTAGTACAGTATAAGTATAAAGATATTTTTCTTAACAATATAGAAATGCAGATCAATATGAATATGACAAAATATGGTGAAGCTTTTTGACAACTAATTATTCAATAAAATAAAATATAAAATTTGAGTTTTAAATAAGATATATCAATGCTATATTCATTAGATTATATATGTTTGTGGAATATATATGAATAATAAGAAAAATGTTTTTCTTACTTAAACCTTTTAAAATAAAAATTTATAATCTTCTATGTATACTAATTGGGAATAGATAATATATTCTAATACATAGTCAATCACCATAAAAACTTAATTTAGATCTTTATTTACTTCATCTATTTCTTTTCATATATCACACTATCAATACACATTAATTAAAAGACATATACTTAATTTCCTCTATGAGATTGTCTTTTTTTCCTCAAACTCAAAAGACTTTTTTTTCATTCTTTTCTCAACTTCAACTAAAGTCAATAGCAAATAACAGAGAATATTCTATTCAATCATGAATTTTTTAACAACATATGCAGCGCCTTTACGATCTTATATTCAATCTCGTATCAATGTTTTGGAAAATGCACTTCAAGAAGAATTTAGAAATCGTGATAATGTCGATATTACACTCCTGGAACAACAATTTGATCATGACATCAGAAAATTTTATTGCTGATGTAACAAGGCAAGTTCATCAAATTTGTGATGAAATCAAAACATATCGCCCTACAAATATTCAAGGATCCGATTATGAAATGCGAGGGTGTGGGTGTGAATGTGTAAGTAAAAGAAGAATGACTTCACACCCCATACCCCACACCCTTGAGGATCCGTCCACTGTTTACGTGTATAACGAACAGTAACCTTATAAAGTTTCAAACGATCAGATATTATTCTATGACTGATATCATAGCTTAGACCAATTTATTCTTGCAGTTCTTCTATTATCACATAAAAGAATCATCATTAACAATACTATGAGTTTACTTAATAATTTCAGCAATGATTTCGGCTACAGGTCTACCAGGTTCCTCATCATCTTCAATTTTTTGTCGACTTTCACAAAACCACTGAGTCCATCTTGCAACTGTTTTTGAAGACAGAGCTTCATCGTGAATAGTTATCGGTTTAATGTACTAGCAAAAATTTTCCTTATCCATTTAAAACACAGATGAAAAGTGTTCAGATTCGATTTTATTTTACTACTTTCACTTTCTAAAGAGTATAATAATAGACGATACATTTCGAAGACATTATGAATTAATATCACCATTACACATGATTGCCAAACTGACCTTATCAGAAGTTTATTGGTATGATATTAATCAAAGTATGATTAAATAGCATCGAAAGAAAAAGAAAGGTTTTTCAAGCTTATTATATAATAACGAAGTATCACTGTCACTACTTTTGGATATACCTAGTAATTTTTATTTGTAATCATTTACAGGTTGTGTGGTGGCTTCAAACTGTCTTTTTCTTGTATGTAACCTTTTATTTAAATATTGTATATATTTTTGTTATATCATACATTGTAAAAGAATAAATGGTTTTATATAGATAAATGACTAATTGAAAACTGCTATTGTATTCTACAAATAAAATTTCTGCTGCTATGTGTATTTATTTCTTATTTTATAATAATGAAATAGTACTATTTGAAAAGATTTATAACTATAACACACTAAAGAAAAGTCTCATTCTAAAAAGACATACGCTTCTAACCACCCATGAATATCCTGTCAATCTATCATTCATATGTCAAATATGTATTATAATGACAGAAAACATATGGATCTATTAAAAAGATGTCTTAACTGACACTTGGTATGATAAGAAAAAATTTCATAATTCAATCTTTTTAATGATTATCGTATAATCGATAGAAATTCATTCTCTTTTAAAACTTTCTATTATTCTACTTCATGTCCTTTTTTTCTTTCATACAAAAAATAAAATATACAATATGAAATAAACCGATGCATATATTTGAATAAGTTAGAAAATATGAGCAGTTGTATGTAAAGATGAAAACAATATAACAAAACAGAAAAACGGAAAGAAGTTGTTCTTGTTTTTGTAATGCGAGTTTAATGTACAGTGAACCTAACTACACACATATACATATGTTTACGAAATACATTTAAATGTATGTCATTATATCTCTATTTACAATAACAATGCACAAACTTACATACATATAAAGAAAGAAAACAAAAAAAAAAGAAAAGCACAGATGTTCACTATGTGGCATAGAGAAGAA